ACAAGAATTCATCACTTTGTCATATTCTTCAAGAAGAAGCAGTCTTTATAAATTATTCTAAGCATGGTATATTGGAACATAAAAGCAATTCCAAGATACAGGTACACCACTTCAGTGAAAACAGAAAATTGGCATTTATTCTCCTATGCAATGTGAGAGCCAGTTAACTGTGTTCTTATTTAAAAATAAAAATCATGTATGGTTAGCATTACTAGAGTGGCTGAAAACATAAGCATAAAACGAACACAAACAAATAACAAATATCAAATAACTTCCTAAAAGCAGCAAGGCTTACTCAGGAAGAATAATGTTCAGTTATTCTCTTTAAAAGTAAAGGTCTGACTCAATTTCATATCTCTGCTGTTTGGGAGCAGAGTAATTTCTGTGTTCAAAGTTTATGCCATTTTCCTTCCTCCAATTTGAATATATTTAAGCTCCCATGGGAACAAACATGAGCTTCCTGATCTCTAAATGCATTAATGCAAACACTGTTAGATCCACCAGCCTCTAGTACATTTAGAGACCAGGGCTCACAGAAGCCATGCAATTGGCTTTTGTAACTGTCTTGAATTCATTATCATGTTGAAATAAATAGTTTTTTTTTTTTATTCTTTACAGGTTTTAGAAGATAACGTGCAGTATTGCAGATAGAATCACAAACAAATCAGTCACGTAAGTAAAAAGTCATCTTTTCCATTCCACAATTGTGGAAAAAGAAGATTTTTTAAAGACAAAACTCAATCACTTAATATTGAAATTGACATAATATATTCTTAAATACTCACTTGCTCAACAAAAGTACCTATAGTGTTATTCTGACTACTACATCAACACTACTTTACTCCATATATGCTTGCTTTTGATACATCCATTATTCATGACAATATGAAATCTAATAATAAAGACTATTACTAAGCATTTTACAGAGATTATATTTTTTCTTGAAATCATTTATCACTTTTATTCTATGTGTGATACATTGACCTATTTACCTGAAAGAATTAAGTTAAGCATTCATGAATGCTACATACTAGAATGAACCTAAAAACAGGTAGTGTGTTTCACTGTTGATGTATTACCTATCAGCTGAAACTAAAAATTAAATATTTCACAAGTATCATGTATTACCAACTAACAACTTCATGAGTTATATTCATACAGACAATAAACTAATACATATAATCAGAAAAGCTGAATCCAGTGCTAAAATGTTAACACAGAACTGATTACGTTCATACTCAACATCTAACAAATACTTAATCAAAAATTGTTGTGGCTACCAACCGTTAGTTTCAACATTACAAATATATTTTAGTATCTCAAATGTTGCTTCCAAGAAAGAATGGAGCCTCATGCCTGGAATTCCAGAATTCAAGAGACTGAGGGAGCTGGTGGATTGCCTCTAGTTCCAGTCTATGTCAGCCTTGACTATGTAAATAGTGAGTTAAAAGCTACTCTGGGCCACAGTGTTAGATACTGCATCAAAAGCACAAAACAGAAATATGCAGATCAATAAATAAACCATTGAACAAATAGAATTGTGGAACTATCCTTGTTAACATTTCACAAAGAAAAACATGAGCTAGGCTTAAAAACCACACCTGTTTTGAATATAAAGATATAAAATGAAAAACAGTGAGTTTACTGGTTATTCTTTTCTGCTTAAAAAATAACCCAGCCTTTAACATAACAAACTCTCACTCAACATTCTCAAAAATGAAAATCTGAACACAAAGAGGCCTGAGACAGGCTATATATACCCTTAGGTGTGGCTCCTGATACTCAATACTCAGCTCTCACACCAACAGGCCTGATAAGTATAAGTGTATATAAGTATAGCTCTCATGCCTCATCCAAGAAGGCTTTTTGTTTTGTTTTGTTTTGTTTTTTTCAGATTATTATAGGGATCCACAGTTGGTCAAAATAATGAGAATAAATGACATGAGGGATCAAGTCCCAAATGATACATCTGCAATATAACTCATCCACCTAGGGCTCGGGAAAATTGTGTTCGAAGGGGCAGAAAGATTGTAAGAACCAGAGGATCAGGACAATTACTGCTAGATAGGGAACTCTAAATGGGACAGAAAAGCTGTACTCATGAAATCTCACAACACAGTCACCTAACAAGATCTAACAATGATAACACAAGCTGGCATGCCAACATGGACGTGCACATTTCACAAAGTCCCACCCCTAAATGAAGAGGTATGGTCAATAAGTGACTGCTGACAGATGAAGGACTAGATCTCTGATAGGTTGCCCTGACCCAAGTGGTCACCCTGAACACATCTACATACCACTAACATAGAATGGAATCAGTAGGAATTTTTTTTGTGGTGTGTGTGTGTGTGTGTGTGTGTGTGTGTGTGTGTGTGTGAATTTATATATGCAACATATGCAACAATAATGATTTAAAGAGATGAATTTGAGACAATGTAGGAAGAGATACAGGAGATGCTGAAGAAGAGGGAGGAACAGAAATGATGTAAATACTGCATTTCAGGATGAAATCTCAAAAACATTTAAAGTTTTAAAAATAAAAAAATATGATTAAACTACAGCTCTGAATAAAATGTAAAATACCAATTTTAAATGCACAAACATGTGTGCATAACAAATATAAACAATCCCAATTTTATTGCTATAAACCCAGTCGACTGAGTGAGAAAGCTCATGACTTTTAATTCTGAAAGCTCTTAACATCATTTCATCTCTTTAATGAGCTTGGGCTTGTGTAAAGGAAAGTTTCCTTACTTTTGCAAGTGGAAAAACTGAAGTCACAGTCAGGAAAGACACTATGCACAGGGTGATTCATAAAGTCAATCTCAGACAGAAGAGTGACATTTACAACCTCAAACACCCACTTCCAGAAGGAACACCAGCCCCATTTCTGTTTAAGGGGGTCACTTCTGAAATGCAAGAAAGAAATACTAGCTGAGCTTCCCTCTCTAATTCCATGACCCCAAATCCAGGCTATTTGAGAATAACTGAATCATTCAATTTAGGTGGAAAACCATCTGCTCAGAGCCCATCTTCAGTTCTTACTCGCCAGGAAAACAAAGAAGAAAGGACCAGGTCAAGGGATGGAACTTGAAGCTAACAACATGCATCTTGAGAGGACATGGTAACAGTGCAAGCACACGCAAAGCAGCAAAGCATCAGCAGCCAGCAGAGGGTACCATATTGCTATTCCAGAGAGAGGATGGTGGTAGGGGTCACACTGCCCTCCCCCCACCCCCCAGGCCTTCCTGCACTCTCCTTGTGATACTCAGCTACATTCTAGGCTTAGTTGGGTGTGTGTGTGTGCGTGTGTGTGCGTGTGTGTGTGTGTGTGTGTGTGTGTGTGTGTGTGTGTTTCCTCCAAGAAGACTCTTAGTCATTTAAAATTATCATTTCAAAAGAAACCCCTTATTTAAGCCACAGTACCACCACCAACCCCTTCCAATTATTCTCTGCAACTTCCCCAGTCTCTTTCAGGCCTGGCTACTGAGCTCAGTCTAGTTTGGCTGCCTGCCAGATTCCTCTCTTCTTTCCTTGTCAGTCGTAAAAACTTGGAAAATGCTCCTGGACAGCTCAAGGAGAGCGTTTAATTATGCAGTGGAGCAGTACCTTAACCCAACAGTTGTTTCCAGAAAACCTTGCAGTCACCAGCGTCTGAACTCTCCCAGTCGGTGGGTTTTCTAGCAAGGCTATTCGTTTATGAGGGGGAAGGGAGGAAAAGGCTGGCAGAGCAAGCAGGCCATTTGCAAATCTGAAAATGTTCCCATTCCTTTCAAGGTTTCCCACCTCTCACCATTCACTCTGTCTTCCAATCTGCTCTCTTATGACCTTATCACCCACCCATATGGACTACATAAAACCATCAGTATCCTGGCCTCTGCAAACCTATAATTAATAGGGTAGCTAGAATTCGAATAGTCTAGAAAGTTTTCATTCTTAAATGTTGGTGCAGCATCTTTAAAAGAAGCCACAAAATAAATGTATTATACATCTTCCTAATTGATAGTATATTGTCAAACTTACAGATTGAAATAATGTAGGTTAATGTCTAATTGCAACCCAAGAAAAGTAAGGAGGGGGGTACCTTGTCAGCCTACTCTTGGGAGATTCCCCACCACAGTTCTATCTTCCTCACTCTACCTTGGCACGCTATTTCTAGCTGCAGCGTCCAGCTTCCTGTTCAAGTCCCATTCAACATTGTAAACACATTCCAAGAAAACTAGCCTGCCCAGAGTTCCCTCCACACACAGGAAAGTCAGCCCAGCAGCCCCAGGAGAAAGAACCAGCTGGGCTGTCTTCTGAGCGAGGTCGAGAGCAAGGCCACCACCGAGAGGTGGACCCGAGCGAGCAAGCTTGGCAAGCCAGGTCCCACTAACGTAACGCCCAAGAAGCAGCGATCTGACCCGCCCAGCCAAAGGGCACGCGCGTGGACACCGCCCCAGACTGGGGCCCCTGCCCGCGTGGGGCTTTAAAGTATATGAGGCCCGGTCACGAGCTTCTTGCCTCCCCGCCCCCTGCCCACATTTTCCCAGCGACCCAACAAAAGCGAGACCAGGCTGGACGAAGTTGACTCTCGGGTCGCCTCGCTGACCCAGCGAAGCCTCCGCTAGCTGAGCAGTGTCTGCTCAACGCACCCGCGGCGGGATGGTCCAGCGTCCGCACCTCTGGTTCCCGGTCCCTGCATGTCCGCGCCGCACCCAGGCAAAGTTACCTCAGAGGGAGCTGCGACGGGAAAGCGCTGCGCAGGGGACCCTCGGAGCCGCCACCTCTCCCGGCACTGCCCCCGCCTGCAGCAACAGGTCCCAGCCTCCTTCCCTGCCCTCCGACTCCCAGCGCCTTCGGGGTCCGGATCTGTGCAACCTGCGGGCAGCCGCAGCCCCGAGCCCTCCTCACCCGCCCGGCTGACCGCGCCCGCTTCCCAGGGTCTGCTCCGGGTCCTGGTTCCACGCCACCTGGCCGGACCCGGACGGACCCGGACGGACGCGTCGGCTTCCTACCGTGGCTCCGCAGAGCGATGCGGCCGCTCGGCTGGGGCAGACACGGGATCACCAGGGACCTTGGCCCGCGCTCGCGCGTCCGTGGAGGACAAGGAAACTTTGTGGACGTCTTCACGACGCTGGGCCCGGGACTCTAGGGCTCCCGTCCCCTCCCTCCTCCTCCTCCTAATCTGCCTAAGCCTGAACTGGCTCTGGCGGCGGCCCGGGCTGGGTCGGGAGTTGCAGTCACTGGGGCTGGGATCGAGGGGCTCCCCCTCTCGGCCAGAGGAAAACTCCTTATGCGCAGTTAGACCGGTCTCCTGGTCTCCTGGGGACGTTGGTGGGTCTTTCTGCAGCAGCACGGAACTGTCCTGTTTTTAAAGACAGATCTGAAGGGGCTAGGAAGTGTGGAGGGAAAGAAGCGGCTCTTACCCGGTTCTTATTTCCGAAGGGAGAGAAAACGCAGGCCCTACCCCACTCCCACAGCACCGAGTTTTCTTTTGAACCTCCTTCCAAAGATGCTGTTTCTTAAGAATTTAAAACACCTCTGCGGTGTCACAAGGGAGAAAATTGTTACAGGGAGGGCATAAATATGTGTGAGGCGTGCCCTCTCCTAGCCTCAATCATGAAACAGTCGCTGCTGCTCTGACTAGACTTTTTTTGTATATATTTTTTTCTCTTTAAGCACAGGCTGAATCTTTGCACATTATCCCTCCCACCCCACCCTCAACAAAGAATGAACAGGAAAAATTGCCTCAATTGCCACATTATGTTTATTTGCAGCCTTCCTATGCTTACCTCAGAATTCAGAACTTTTGTGTGGGGTTGGAAGGATAACACAGCAATGAGCCTGGTATTCTGAGTAAGAAAAGAATAAAAATGTGTTCTCATGGGAGCAAGTCTTGGAAAATGAGAAGACCAATACGAAAGTTTCTGGAGATAACCCTTAGAATTTAGCTCAGTAAGGCATTTTACAAGGATAGCATGCATATAGTATCAGTGTTCATTATAATATGCTGTATCCATGCCAGGGCTAAGAGGCAGGCAGACAGACCGGAATTCACTCCAGTCCCCATACTTACTCTCTCTGTTGCCCAGGACACTCTCTTCTCAATTATAACAGGGAAAGGACTTAGGTGACACAACTCAAGGCAGTCACGTGCACAGGAGTTAAAAATGGACTATTGTTAGAAGGAGGAAGACAGCAAAAGTTGGGTTATTAAACACCCATCATATTTTGCTTTAATTTGAACAGACAGGTAGTAGACATTCCTTTCCCATGACCTTGTAGCTGAGTGAATATTCTCTTTGACACTTGTTCTGTTAAGAATGATGCAGGTTTCCAAAATTTCAGATGGAAACACTTTAAAGGTCACTGTCCTCTAATCAACCCCCCTTGTTTTGAACACAAGATAATGGAAGTCCAGGGATATTAGCCGATTTTCCTGACGCCGAGTTTAGATCTCCTGAATTTGGCTCATAGTTTTTTGTTTCCCCCTTTACCAAAAGAAATAAGCATACATTAAAATTATTGTAACAGGAGGCCAACTATGTAGCTCATTTGATAGACTGCTTGTTTAGCATGCACCACATAAAAACAGGCATGGTTAAACACAGATGCCTCAGGAAACAGAGTAAGGAAAATCAGAAGTTCATGATCATCTTTAGATATATTGCTAAAGGAAAGTGTGGGATATATGGAACCCCGACTAGAAAGAAAGAAATAGAAAGGAAAAGAAAATTGCAGTGAAAACACTTATCTGAAGACAACACTAGGTTTTTTTTTTTTTCTGTAAATAGCCTTACTCAGTTTGTGAAAAATTACTGATAATTTACATGACATTTGAATCATTTTATCAATATGATTAGAAACTACCATTTAAGAATAGGGATTTTTATCAACTTAATCCATTATTTACCTGCAAATGTGGGGGGTATTTTAATGCAATGATAGTGAAAGATTCTAGCATAGACTCCCTAGAATACATAGTTTGAGAAATACTAGATCACTTTCAAATAAACAACTCTTTATAAGTATAGGGCCCAAGAAAGACTCTGGCTACAGAGATCAAGCATCATAAGCCCCAGTCTATGAACTAGTGGGAAGTGTCATATCTTGTCCTTTATCCCAGTTCACTCACCTCTGCTGGCTTTCAAGAGGACTTTTAACTCCTTCCTCACTCTACTCCATGTTGGGACTTCCCTGCCTTCCCACAACTAACTGCAGAGTCCCTGGAACTACAACCCATATTCTCTGCCTCCTCCTCACTCCCTGACTGAAAAAAATTTCCTAGAGATCTGATATAGTTCTCCCTCAATCTATGTTTCCTACCTATGACAGGTAGAAGTACTAAAAAAAAAAAAAAAAAAAAAAAAAAAAAACAAAACAAATTGTGACTAATAAGTATGCTCACCTCTAGACAGATGGGTGAAAATGCATGAATCACCACATCTGTCTCTTTCCATCCATTGCACACAAGTTCAGGGTTGCTTGCTTTTGTATTTTCTGTAAGTTAGTTGTTGCTTAGTTATTTTTATAGTCAAATGTGGGAAACCATGCTGGCCACGTTGGCTTCATCAGGCTTTGCCACGTCAGCTTGTTTATTGCTCTTGTATCTTAATCGTCTGCGCATGCCTAATCATCTGCGCATGAACGTGTGACGTTATCCTAAGATGGCTGCTCACCTATCCTGATTGGGTGATGCACAATCGTCCGATGAGACCTAAGCCAATCAGACGACGCTGCATGTCCACATCATCATGAGTATATAAGCTTGGCGCGGAAGGGTCTGGGTCCTTCTCCTTCTCTTTTTCAGTCTTTCTCTTTTTCAGCTTGGAGCTCCCAATAAAGTATTCTTGAGAAGAATCCTGTTGTCATTCTTCCCGCTGGCGGGATGGGCGCAACAGTCAAACTTACTATATGAACTTCTTTATGAAATTATGAAATGGCTTGCAGGCATAAAAATCTCAAGGATGTTAGAACCAAGTTTTTAACAGCACTAAAATGAAGCAGAACAAAACTTTAAATCAGATGTATAAGAAGGAAGATGACATGGATAAATCTTATGGAAGCCTGGCAGTACCTAATTCTACTCATTGAATTTCCTCAGAATTTCAGTTAAAAATTCTCTCTATTCATCATGTTGTATGCAACCACTCATAAAAAACATTAGCAGCTTTCTATTAATTTTAAAGTTAATGTTCCTACTCAGGGAAGTTTTCAGTTTTTCTTACTTGAGTAAGAAGAGAGTTGACCAATTCTTACTGATGCTAAAGGTGGCATCACACCCCTGTAGTCTCAGCACTAAGCAAGATGATTTCCTGATAATCACACTTGGACAGGATTTACAACCACCTAGACAACAAATTTCTGGGTGTGTCCTTAAGAGCATTTCTAGAAAAGTCTAACTGAGTAGCGAAGATCCACTCTGATCCCATGATCAGGGGCACCAGTTCACTATAAAAGGAAAACAGAAAATGAGCTTGGCTTCTAGCTAGTTAACCCTCTGTTTCCAGGCTAAGATGCAATGGGGCCAACCTACTTGCAATGTTGCCAAAGCTAAAGCTGCCACAGCCTCCCTATCCTCACTACCATCATGGATTGTAGCCTCAAACCCTGAGAAAAAGAAACTCCTTTTAAAGTTGCTTTTGTTAGGTACTTTGTAACAGCAATAGAAAAATAACTAATACAATTAAGTTTGGACCAAGCCTGAGGTACAAAGTAGACAACTGGTACATTGCACAAGATTCATGGGACTGGCTCAAATATAGATTAATATAATTTTATTTGGGGATAAATCACTTACATTCTATGCAGATGATTGTCGCAAGTCCCTGCTCCGAGGATCCACACCAGCTACCCTCCCTGACCTGATTGATCGGGAGCAAGAGAGAGCAAACCTGTCACAGACCCCAGATCAAATACCGCACATTCACCTACACAACTATGACCACGCACAAACTGGTGTGGTCAGTGGCACAGGTGTCTCTCGGTGGCTGGGTGGATCTCTTCCTACAGAGGTACTCTAGGAGGTCATGTCTAAGAAAGGAAGGAAGGGAGAGGAGGAGGGAGGGACAAAGGAAAGAGGGAGTTAAAGAGAAAAAAGAAAAAGAGAACATTAAATTGAAAAATACCTGTTATTTTTGATAAACAAATAGTATTTTACCATAAAACACAAAAATATGCTGATTATTTAGCTCTATGTTCCACAAATAAATCATTTAAAGACGCTTATAACTCCTTCTGAAAGGAAATAAACATCAAGATGGAATTAAAATCTTGTGGTGGTTTGAAAGAAAATGGCCCCCAAAGGGAGTGGTACTAGTAGGATGTGTGGCCTTGTTGGAGGAATTATGTTACTGTAGGGACAGGCTCTGAGGTCTTCTTTGTTCAAGCTTTGATCAGTGTGACACTCAGTCTACTTCCTGTTACCTGCATATCAACATGTAGCATCTCCTTCTCCAGTACCATGTCTGCTGCATGCCACCATCCTCCCCACCATGATGATAATGAACTAAACCTCTAAAACTATAAGCCACCAATTCAATTAAATGTTTTCCTTTATAAGAGTTGCCACAGTCATGGTGTCTCTTCACAGCAATAGAAACCTGAACTAAGACAAAATATTAGACTTGGTCTCAGTTGAAAATTGGAACATGTGTCAAGGATAGCAATGGCCAAATATCCTTTTGATTCCCAGGAACAAATCGGTTCTAGAGTTAATAGGTATTTATTTTCTAATGTCTGTTACTTTATCATACATTCTAAAAGAACCAATTTATTTTGGTCTTTCTGATGAAGAAAGTAAACTGTACTTTATGAAAATAATTAATAGGTGCAAGTACAAAAGATGATAAATAACATTTGTTTTTATCTTTAAGAATGCCCACTGCTAACACTTATTCCATACTCTAAGGCTTTCCTGAGGTCACTGAGATACTTCAGTAAGTATCAGCCCTGAAATTTATTGTTCTATGATTTCTTCTCTCTCATTTTTATGTTTATAAAGTGTTTTACCAAAATTAACACACACACACACATACCCTTTTCACTTTCTTTTATTGTATAAAGTTTTTGCCATATGCTTCCACAAAATAATAACTAGGTATCCAATGCCACATACTTAATGAATGATCCATTCCTTACCCAGTGATTTTTAGAATTCAGCCTAATCCAGGTCAA